GAGTGGGGGAATCTCTGTTAAATAATTGTAAATTTTATTATTGAGCTCATAAGAAAATGGTATTTTTACCCTCCGGGGTAATATATCGTATTCTTATGCCGTGCCCGATTATAAAATATGCAATCCGTTTGAGGATACAAAAATTCTCCAACAGTGCAATTCCCAATTTTAAATATTAAACCTTCAAAAACCATCAAATATCCCAATCCAAATCTTCAAATTTCCAAATCCAAATCCATTGCTGCTACTATATGCCAGATAACACGTAATCTACGTATCTGATTGATGACTAGCCTTAATCGAAAGTTCTCTCTCATGATTTAGAGGGGTAATTAACTATAGGGGCTTGCGCCTATAGGAAATCAGAACTTAGATCATAAAGTCCTCGCAAAATGAGGGCGAAATCTCTGGGTAGTGTCTTATCTACAAACCCATCTGCCTTCCAAAATTTACCTCGGAACTTATTCAGTTAAAACTCCATCGCCTAATAAAAAGAAAAGCGGGCGGAGGCCGGGGCCGAATTTTCGGAGCCCACAATATGCATATTTTAAATGCATTAGTACGCATTTCAATGCATGAGGGGGGTGTTGTTGAAATATTTGAATATGACTGATTGTGCAGGTGATTATCAGTTGAAAAATGTGCAAGTTTCCATTTAAGGGTCTGTAAACACCATATGTTTACTTGTACGAATGTTACTGATCCGGTGGCATTATTTAGCACATTTCATCTCCTATTTCTGTCCATCAGCAATCTGCGGTTTTCACTACACATTCCTTGCTTCTACTTGCAGCTGAATTGTAGCGCTATGCTAGTGGTCCATCGTTGCTTTTTGCAGGCAACCTGTCATGCGGTATCGAACTCTGTTAATATTGCTTGTGGGCAAGATTATCGTATGTAGTTGAACTACGCTTAATATAATATCCTTAAACACTGCTTGTGGAAGAAGCTGTCATGCACATTTCATATTCTCCCTCACAAACCTACCACCTTAACTCATAGGCAATGATGCACGCATAATGAACCTCCCACTGTTGCCCACAGTTGGATTTTCCCAAGAGCGGTTCGGTGGCTAGATTGAGTGTGGGCTTCAGTTCGAGGGGGGGGGGGGGGGGGGAGGATACGAGGTCAGGTGTTGTAGTTTGGCATAGTGTATGGTGACGAGAGGAACCTAATTTGTATGTAAGGGAACCTATTTTCCATGTTCCTATTAGAATTTTAGTTTCATGGACTAGCTTCTTTGCCCAAATTCGTCCATGATGTGGGAACCCTTGCCTATTTAACATTGCACCCTGGCGCCAGTGCAGCGGCCCTTGCTCACTTGCTGTTGAATTCAGGCCATACAACGTGTTGCTTACAGGAAACACCATAGCATTAACACAATGTATTAAATGATTCATGTCACGATTATTCGACAAGTTTAACGTTGGCTGTCGACTGCCTAACGCAACCTTTCCATTTTTCTCATCCAGGACTTGGGACCTGGGCAGTGTTAGTTTTTTTGATTGAGTAAATGCTAAAAATGATCCCTGGACTATTTGCGGAAGTTCATTTTAGCTCCAATATATTTCAAGCGTCCGATATAGTTCCTTAATTCAGCTAATATGATCTAAAATAATCTCATGTTTAGAAGTGATATTAAATTTAATGGAACTTAAACGCAATGTTTATGAATGAGGGTATTTCATGCAAATGAAGATGTATAAAAATTCCATTTTCCAAAATACATTTACTCCTCACCTCATTTGTGATCTTTGCATGAAGTCTTCATCAAATTAAACAACAGTTTTAACAATGGGGACTATTTTGGATCACATTTGAAGGGCGGAGGGATTAAACTGAACACTATAAATAGTTTGGAATTTAAGCGGCCCCATCACGAAGTCTTGGGATCAATCTTGACCTTTCTCTTTTCGAGTTTTTGCTCATTTCATTGTCTTTTCTTTAGATTGTTAAGGAGGTTTTTGTTATTTCATTTCCCAAACTTTTTACCTGAAGATTTCAATTTTATTACTATGCTATCTAAAAAGTTGAGATAATTTTTGCGGTACTGACATTAATTGAAGATACCTTTCTGGTTACCTACTTATCTTTTTTTACCTATGAAACAAAAAAAAAAAAAGTTTCTGATACCATTTATCATCCATTTTATATTTACACGCTTAAAACTTCCTTTGTGTGTTGAAAATGATGTTTACACCACTTCTTTGTAATTTTGCCTGGCATTCGGTTGATAAGAAGTCATTATTCTCCCAGGATGATCGCATGACGGCTGCTCGATTGGCCAATACAATGTGGACTTCCATGAAAGGCAGACCTGTTCAGGTTTTACTTAATATTTCATTATTAATGGAAAGAAGTGTTTTTATTTCTTTTTTGGGCTCATTTGGTTATTATTATTGGCTACTCACTGTTTCAAAAAATCTGATCTATAAAACTTCTTTTTTGTGGAAAACATCCTACAAGAAGTATTATACTTCACATGCTTCTCCCATGTAGCTTCACTATCATGGAAAACAGCACTTTGTCCTTCTCTCTGAAACTTGCTAGTGAATTTATTTTGTACTAGGCAAGACAAACGAGCAAGAAACATCACAAAATAAAAACCTATTACGTTATGCTTAATGTCAACAGAATGCTACTTCTCTTCTGTTATTAGGTCTTGAGGGCAAGATTTTAAAAGGCGAAATCGGGAATCAAGGCGTTTTTTCTAAGCGAGGTGAGGCGTAAGCCTTGAGGCGGATCGAGGCGTAAGCCTCAAAACGATTAAAATAAATTAATTTTAAATTTTAAATAATGAAAAAAAAAACAATTATTTGTACTACCAATAATAAAATAACATGAATACAAAAATAAACCAGTCTGCCGGGGGTCTAAGGGGGCGCTGCCCCCGGCAGGGTTTGTCCTCAATACCGAGCATGTATTGCTTAGCACCGAGCATGTACCGCTAAGTACTGAGCATGTATTGCTTATTCATAAGTGGTGCATCGGGATCATGGCCGTGGTAGGTAGCACGATGATTGGCACGGTGATGCCTCTCATCCAAATCAGGATCATGACGTGGATCATGTCCATGGTAGGGAGCTCGATGATTGGCCCGATGTGGCCTCTCATCCGGGTAGGTTTCATCCCCATACATAGAAGTGGGTCTAGATGTGGTGTAAGGAGTAGGATGGTCTCTAGCTCGCTCAAGTGTATCGAATCTCTCGGTGGTGTTCCTACGAAGCTCAGCTAGATCCGCCTGGTTTTCCTTGAGTTGCTGGCTAATAGTGTTCATTTGGCCTACCAAGAGGTCTAAAGTCCTTCCTAGTTGTTCCGGGTCCATTCCTAAACACAATGGGGTACTGGGAGGGTTTCCTAGGAAGTGGACAGCAAGCTATGTGATGACAAGGCACTCTAAAATGACCCTATATGGTGCAGGAAATTCAGGGACAGCAAACTACACTCAAGTACTAAGTCACCCTAACAAGTATTAATGATTGCGAGGCTAAGGAAAACAAATAAACACTTAAATGGGGGTCCTAAAGCTTGCCGAAAGCTGCAGGAATTTTCTGGACAACCACAAAACAATGGGTGTAGGGAGAACTTAAGATGTTTTATGCAAAAAAAAAAAAATGACACACAATGACTTAGTAGCACCTTAGGGATAAAATGAGTAGCTTCTAAATGAACTGATGCAAAATGAAAGCACAAAAAGGAAACTACCAGGAATCCTAAAACATGCAAGAGCATACCATGCTCTGATACTAGATGATGCAGGACTACTTAAATGCGATGATTATTTAGTCATTTAGGCATTGCACAACTCTTAGATTAAAATAAATTCAGGAAACAATTACTTAGCAATTCTCAACAAAGTTTCAAAACAAATAAGGAAATGATTTGCTTAAGTGAGATTACATGCTCTGAACTTTGAAGCTTTCAAAATAAATAAGAAAATCACACAACGCACACAGTAGGCTTCAAATTAAATCCCTAATATAACAACGAGATGTAGGATGCATAAAAGGTCACACTCAATTCCTACAAATGACTAAGCTTGGCAAGAGCATTCAGAGTAGGCCTTAGCGATTACAATCTAACCAAATGAGAACTTAGATTTAGAAGACTTTGAATGCAAGTGAAAGAAGGAAAAAACCTTTGCTCAAGGAGACGTGAAGATCCTCCGCGATAGCAACTACTCTTGACGAATATCCAAGGTCGACGGACTAAGATGTTCTCTTCATAGTGTGCTAAAGAAGTAATCCAAATCCTTCCAAAATCTGAAAAGATTTTCAGATTTTCTGGCCCAAAACCTGAGAGAAAATCTCAGATTTCTCTAAGGAGAAGAGGAAAGCCAATTGGAAGAAACTGTATGCAGAGAATTCTCAAGAGAAGATTTAGTGGGAAGGACGGGAATTTGGGAAAATAGAGGAGACGGGTATGGGGTGGGCTTGGTGGCGGCAAAAGGAATTGACAGGGAATTCCTTTCCCAATCAGAAGGAATGAAATTGGAAAGGGATTAAAGGGATTATGGGTTTGGAAAAATTCAGCCAAAGGAACGAGAGATAATTTGAAATATTTCCAAATAAGCTTATGGAACCATTAGGAAATAAATCCTAATTTGTTCCCCTAGGGGCCTGCGGCATATATGGGTGATGGGAGATTAATTGAGAGTAATTAAGGATTCCTAATTTAGGATTTAGAATTAGGAAATAGTTAATTTAAATCCTCTTGAACTTAAAATTCAAAATAGATTTAAATCACATACTTTCCTAAAATAGAAGAGTTAATTTAGGAACAATTTGAATTCAAATTTTGGTGAATTTGAATTTCCAATTACCCCAATTAATTCCAACCTTAAATTAGGAAATACAATAAAGAGGCAAAGGGGATGGGAGGCCGGCGGCTAATGCATTGGGCCGGCGGTATTGAGGGTTGGGTAGGGTGATTTGACCGTGGGTTATGAGTGGATGAAGTGGCTCGGGTGGATTGGAGAATCCGGCGGCAAGGCGAAGTGGGGGTGAAGGGGTTTCGGCAAAGGGAAGAAGAGAAGACAAGAATAAACCACGAACCCGGCCGTCTCCAAGGTTGGTGGGTGATGCGCCAATCTCCCTCTCCAAGGGATCTCTCCAAAACTCTCCAAGAACTCTCAAGGCTCTCAAAAACACAAGTGCAGGAAGAAATCTCAATAATCATTCATTAATCTCAAATAAAACAAAGGGGGGCTTTAAATAGCCTCATACAAATGACTCTAAACAAAATGACACTAATGCCCTTTCGTCTTACAAATAACAACTCCCATAAGAGGGGTACAACGGAAAAAAATAAAACACACATAAGCAAATAACAAAATACATGAAAATAAAATACATCGATGACTCAAAAATATAACGACTCGATCATGGCCGTAGATCGGCGGCCACGTCTCTGGTAAACTTTCCATGATGATCTGATGTTCTCATCATATATATATATATATATTGGAATTAAATGAAACCAAATCAATATTTTCTATCTTGTTATGCCATCTATTAGCAATTAGGGACAAACGGAAGTTGACAGTTGTATGTTTAAATTATTCCTAGCAAGATAAGCTGCAGTGTTACTCAAAATTAAGCACTTCTCACTGCACCATTGGAATCTCAGCACCCGAGCTCACCATTTTATACCATATAGAAGAATTCCTAAACTTTTGGATGTTTTGGCATGCCCACCGCAGGGTCGCATTTTTCAAGGGAAGGAGCCACCGCAATTCATTGCACTCTTTCAGCCCATGGTTGTTTTGAAGGTAATATTTTCCTTTCTAAAAATTCTTTGTCTTTTAGAAAGCTTGAGACTGAGATTGAGTGCTTAATTTCTTTCAAATTTTGCAGGGTGGTCTGAGCACAGGTTACAAGAAGTCAGTGGAAGAGCAGAATGTTAAAGATGAAACCTATGCCTCTGATGGCATTGCATTAATTCGTGTGTCTGGTACTTCAGTTCATAATAATAAAGCAGTTCAGGTTGATGCGGTAAGCCTTTTTTTTTTTTTTTTTTTTATTTGGTTTTCCCCCAATTTTTGGAAAGTTTTTTAAAAAATTGGGTTTTCAATAATAAAATTTAAGTATTACATATATCTCAGTGTTACGTATCAGCCTTGAATAGTCTCACTAAACATGGCATACATTTGAATTTGTAAACACAAAGGTCTATAAGTATTGTTCTGATGGTTGCTATTTATGTTTTTGAGAACAAGTCTTCTTGGAAATGCTTTAATTGATGGCTTAGTATTTCATTCGTTATGTTAAAAAAAAAACTTAGTGTGGATATTCGCATTTAGTGGTTTCTATAGAACTTAGTACATTTTTTGTTGATTTTTCTGTGTAAAAATCTTTTTTTACTAGTGGTTTTATATTTCAATTTTGCCAGTATGCACCTCTTCAGGTCTTATATTTTAATTTGCGCAACCGGAACTATTTTATTTTCAGAATAAAATTCATCATGTAAAATATGTGGTTTTTTTATGCTTAAGCTCTTCAGATATTTCTTACCATTGACAGTGCACAAGAGTGTGGAAGTTCAGCGGAGTGTTAAATTTCTCTCATACTTATTTTTTCTGTTATTTGAGTTTATGCTTGACAACATCCAATCCTTTTGGACAGCATATATTATCCATACAGTTGACAAAATAACCTAGGTTTCTTCGATCATTATTTTTTTTGTAGAACACCTGGAATTTGGTACTTCTGAAGGAAAAAATCATTCTTGTTCTTCTTTTTTTCATCTTTCTGCTACCCTTGTTTCAGTAGTTGGTTCTATATTTAATATAATAATAACACCAGAGTAGTATCAAGATGCTAACAATATCTTAAATGCCAGAAATTGAGGTTTATGACCTAATAATGTCACGGTGGATATTGAAAAACATCAACTTTTGTCATTCTTTGATCAGGTTGCAGCATCTTTAAATTCCTATGACTGCTTTCTTCTGCAATCTGGAAATACACTCTTTATATGGCAAGGAACATCAAGCACGTTTGAGCAACATCAGTGGGCCACAAACATTGCAGAATTTTTGAAGGTAAACTCTTGACGTGTTAGTGTTCTATGACAACAAACATCACTGGCATTATGCTGGTGTAAATTTTTTTCTGGCATCTTCCTTTATTGAGTCAAATTTTCATAAAATATTTTAAAACAATGTTTTTAGTGGTTGACATCAAATAAAAAACTATCATGTTTGCGCATTTGCCCAGTGATTGTGAACTGTTGAATCATGATTGAACTTCCAAAGTTTGTGTAACTTTATGCATCAATGGTCTTTATCTAGCAAATTTATTTTGACTATAAATAAACAGAAAAATTTAACTCACTGTTTTTTGCGGTTGACATACCGCATATGCCAAACTATCACAGTTTACATTCTACATATGCCAAACTGTCCTATTTGCGCAATCTCTCTCTTTTAAGTGATTGTGATCTGTCGAATCATGACCGAGCTTCTAAATTTTGAGATTTTATCTTTTTAGTTTGCTTCTTGAAATATTCTTGTAAGTTATTGTGACCAGTTGAATTGTGGTAGAATTCCCACATATTGCAATATTATCTATTACATTTTTTGGTTGATAACTTAAGATTAATGTGATGTTGGACGACAGTACTGATGACAGCTTAATGGATCCTTGGTTGGGAGGATGATGGATTAATGTGTTAAATATGAATAGGAAGATTACTGAATAATAATGGTCAAGAGAAATAGATGTGAAGATGGAATGGAAAGAAAGAGAAAGAGTGAATGGAATCAACAGGTTGCAATTCCATCAATTCTTCTTCTAGCATCACACTTGGAATCAAAAGATTTAACATTTATGAAAAAGATAATTTTATTTCACCATCAATCATCTACTTATGATAATTTAATAACCCTATTTATAGAACAGGTAATAGCAACTAACAAACTCAATTACAAGTTTGACCCTTCCCCTCTTCCCTGGCTCCTTTTCTTCTTACATGAAATAAAATGAGAAAATCTTTATGTTGTGTGCTACATTAATGGTAGCTTGTTAGCTTTCTTCATCAATTCTAAGTAACTTCAGCATAATCGTGTTAGAGGACTTTTGTTCTAGAAAACAAAATTAAGGAAAAAAAAAAAATGATGCTAGTTAGAATCTAGTGGATTGCTTATTGGAATAGGATGGATTTTACTTTGAGGCAACTATGTAGTTAAGGTTTAAATAACATGGTCAAATGCAATAAGAAGCAGACATTCCAAAAGCTTAGCACGACTTCATCTCATTACAAAGCAATGATTTAGTACCTTTTTTTGGATAGAATTGGTGTTAAAGTTACTCTATCTCATTACAAAGCAATAATTTAGGATCTTTTTGGGTTAGAATTGGCGTTCACCTCCTTCCAAGAGGATTCAGATGATGCCCTGGGTGTTTTAGTATGTAAGGTATTTCACTCACTTATACTAATCAATATTGAGGGTTGAGGGATAGGCTTCCCAATCTAACTACCCAAGGATTAAGTTTTCACAAGGTTGACCATAGATCTTTGGGTATACCTGCTGCATTGATTTTCTTGGGTTTAGGAAAAAGGGTCCAAGGCAACAAAAATAGGGCTCACACAATTTTTTCGTGGAAAATAACGTCTTGGAGAATTACAACAACAACAAGTCTTTATCCCAATATGTGGGTCGGCTATATGAATCTTTTTTCTCCATTGTGTTCTATTAAGAGTCAAAGTCTCATCTAAATTTAATAAAGAATGGTCATTTCAAATATTTTCTAATCAAGTCTTTTTAGGTCTACCTCTACCTTTCTTAACTTAAGTCAAATCTAATACATCTACTTTCCTGATCGGGTCATCGAAAGGCCACAATTTTATGTGACCAAACCATCTAAGACAACTCTCTAATCTTATCTTCCATTGGAGCTACTCCAATCTTTTCACGTATGTGCTCATTTCGTATCATATCTTTAAGAATAAAGTCACTCATTCTCCTAAGCATCCTCTGCAACACTTAATATTATACTTCTCTTTTAATGGCCTACAATCCGCACCATAAATCATTGTAGGTCTCACTACTATCTTATAGAATTTTCCTCAAGTTTGGCAGAGATTTTTCTTTCACACAACAAGCCTGATGCATTCCTCCACTTCAACCATCCCACTTGAATTCTACTAATAATATCCCCATCTATTTCACTATCATTCTGAACAATAGCTCCAAAATATCTAAAACGTGTACTCTTATTAATGACTTGATCCCCCAAAATCACAATCCCTTCACTAGATCTATTATTACTAAAATTACACTCTATATATTCAGTTTTAGATCTACTTAAATGAAAGCTTTCAGACTCTAAGGTTGTCCTCCATAATTCAAGTTTACCTTCAACTCCTCTAGTCTTAGGGAAAATTTTTAAAAGTAGCAAAGTTTATAATTCTATTAGGAGTAGGAGCATGAAATTAATAAAATTTAAAAAGGAGCAGAAATGCCATCTTACTTTGCGTTTTCTTCAGAAAACGCAAAGCAGGCCTGCATTTTGCATGAAAATGCAAAGGAGCTTCCCGTTTTCTTCCCAAACCCGCGAAATTTAGCGAAATGCATGCAAAGGTGGCAGCGTTGGTTCAAGTAGTGGTGAAAATTTGATTAATAATACATAATTAATAGGCCATTGGCAGGCGGAATGTTGCCTCAAATTCAATAAATTTTTTATGGTTTTTTGCTCTTGGAATAAATAGTTAGTTGCTACGGTTCCCAGATTGCCTCAAAGTCAATAATTTTAAAAGCTTGAGTTAATATTTTGTTTTGTTATTTATAAACATGTTAATAATATTATTAAATATAATTAAAGTTTTGTTAATTGAGAGATTAGAATAAAAAAGGCAAAATATATTTTTAAGATTAGTT